TAGGAGACAATTCCAAATTTCAACTTCCACCCACTGACAGCCCACACCCTCCATCCCTGACCAACTAACTCATTGTGTGGAGAGGCTTGAATTAGAACAGCCAGGAGCCACTCTCCCACTCATTCCCTCTACACACGTTCATTGAGCATTGAATTAATTAATTAATTAGGACATTACTGAGACCTTCTATAGGCCAGGCTCAGGGATATAAAAGAGACTCAAGAAGGTCACAGTCAAATGGGTCATGTGACCACTGTTGGCCAATATCCAACATGAATAAAGTAACTATCAAGGTTGGGAGCAAGCTGGCAAGATTATATGCTCTTTTTGGCAAAAGGATAGAATTCTGCCAATTCAAGGGCTGCCCAATGTCTGTGATATCACTTGTAGACTTTACAGCTATATGAATGTATTGTTTTCCAAGGGCTGTCATAACAAATACCACAAACCGAACAGCTTAAGCAACAGAAACATACTGTCTCACAGTTCTGAAGGCTAGCTATCCAAAATCAAGGCATGGATTGATTAGTTCTTTCTGAGGACTGTGAAGGAAGGATCTCCAGGCCCCCCAAGACGGTCATCTTCTTCCTCTGTTCACAGTCTTTCCCCTGTAAGTGTCTCTGTGTTCAAGCTTCCCCTTTTTATAAGGACACCAGTTGTACTGGATTAGGGCCCACCCTAATGACCTCACTTTAATTTGATTACCACTATACAGGCCCTGTTTCCAAATAAGGTCACATTCTGAAGTTCTGGAGAATAGGACTTCAACATATGAATTTTGGGGACACAATTCAACCCATAACAATGAATGTCTCTTAAGTTTGTTTACCTAAAGCTCTAAAACAGACTCCAGCAGCACAATTAGGCTAGAACTCAAGGTAGGGGGTTAAGGATCCAAAGTACAAGTTTCAAATTAGCCAGTTCCCCTCTCTGAGACTCAGATTTCTCTCTAGAGAATAAGAGATCTGTACTAGGCTTCCAAAGCCCCCTCATTTTTCCAAGATTGTGATATAGATGAAGTGAAGGAAGTTGGGGCAGTACAGCAACTATCAACACCTTTGGCCCTACCGCCTAAAAGCAGAATGATCTTGAGCAAGTATGGATCTTTTGAGCCTCACGGGAATAGTGACAGTAGCTACTTCAAAAATGCTTATGAGGACTTTTTAAGGCTTGTGAAATGCCTGGCACATAGCTGTCATTCCATGTACATGAACTGCTGTTATTATTAGGAGTCAGGCTGTGGATCAGCTCTAAGGTGGTGTCTGCTATCAGAAGGCAGGGGTATACCAAGCAAACCCCGCCCGCAATGTAGCTTGCATGGAGTGAGATGCCTTCGCTGGGAAGGCCCTTGTGAATCTTGCAGCATGTCTTTCACCACCTCCACCTTATCCAAATCCTATCCCATCCTATTTAGCTCATGCACATTCATGTCATTAGGGTTAGGGCTGGGATTTCAGGTGATTTTTTTCTCACTGTATTGTATAATTTTTATACCACACAAAAATATAGCATGTCTAATTATCTCATCTAACGCAGCTTTATAGAACAGATATATCAATCCAGGCCTGCGGTCTCACTCTCACACAAACCCTAGATTGCTGCATGTATGGGGTACATTTGGCTGTTACCGTCACTGAACCGTTCACTATCTTCTCATGTGTGTCCTCACCTAGATTGTAAGCAACTGCAGGAAAGAAATGAGACAACTTACTGAGGTTTAGCAAAGCTCATCTATTGACTCATACAACACAACAGCCCCTCTTACATAAAGTATCTCGTATAATCTTCCCCACAACCTGATGAGGCAAGTAATTGTACTCCTACATCACAGATGGGCCCCTGAGGCTCAGAGGTCACATGCACATGCAATGGCCAAGCCAGGATTCACTTCTACCTCTGTCTGACCCTGAGGCACCGACCTTGCCCAGTGCTACCTTACCGGCTCTGTAGACTGGATCCCTTTCCCTCACCTAGAATCCTCCAGGCTGGGCAGGGTTTTCCATGGCTATGGTGCCCCCTAGTGGCATGTGAGGGCCCTTCCCCGCCAGGCTTCAGACTCATTCCATTGTAGGCCCATGACCTTCGCACTTGCACGAATACACAAGGGGGCTGGCCCTGGAGAAGTAGAGCCTTCTGCACCCAGGGAAGCTAGACCCCTCTACAGGGCTGCACTTCTTAAAAGGACCCCCAGCAGGATTCTGCTCCTGATAGGTCAAGGAAGAGGGGTTAGGGTCTCTGGGGCCAACAGCGTGAGATGACAGACAAGGTTGGAATCCCCCAACCCGGCTCTGACTTCCCAGTCAGGACATGTGGGCATGGGCATTCTCTGCTGCACCCTCCTGGGATTTTCATTTTCCAAGAGCTTGTTTTTGGAGGAGGGTAGAAAGAAGAGGATAAAGGTAGTTAAAGTTCAGGACTTAAATGTTCTTTATACAGAATCATTTCTCAAAAGACCCATCAAGATTCTTCAATAAATATTTTTTGAATTCTCACTGTGCTCTGCAACATTCAGGATGCAGAAATGGAGAAGACATTCTTCATTTGATAAGTAAACATATAAAAAATTACAATGCAATGAGAAAACTAGTATAATATGGGTGTCATGGGACTTCCTGTCACCCCAGGAATCGTTCTCTCTCAAAACTGAAAATAAAGAATCATCAAATACCCAAACTGAAGAAAGAAGAAAACATTTAGGGGTCAGACACCTCCAACCATCACACCAGACCCCAGCACTTCCCCAGTTTATACAAGCTACCCTGCTCCCTCTGCCTTACTAGCACAGGGCAAAACAGCAACAGGCCAGAGGAAGGGGGTGGTGTGGATCAGCCTGCACTCCCACCTCCAATTGGCAAGGGTGTGGGGGCCAGCTGTCCTTTTCTTCCTACTTGCTCATTTTCCCTTGAGAGGCCTTCCTTGCAAGTTTAAAAAGTGATTATCTGCACTTCTGAGGTTCTTTAATCACTAATCTGGCTTTGAGATAATCAGAGATACCCTAGAGCTGTATTAGCCGATATGGTAGCCACTAGCTGCACGTGGCTATAAGAGCACTTGAAATATGTCCAGTCTGAACTGAAATGTGCTTTCAGTGAAAAATATACACGGGATTTCGAAGACTGGGGGTGGGGGTTGGGTGGGGAATGGGGAGAAAAATATCTCACTATTTTTTAATTTCATTACATGTCGAAATTACCATCTTTGGACATATTATTTGGATAAATAAAATATATTATTATAATTAATTCCACCCATTTTATTTTCTTAGTGTGGCTACCAGACCACTTAAAACTACAGACGTGGCTCACTTACATTGCTATTGCTCTGTGCCGCCCGGTAAATCAAACAGCCAGAGCTGAGAAGCCCAAGCCCAACAAAGCTTTACAACTGCATGGGACCACAAGGGGGCGGTGCAGTCGAGGCGAGCTGCCTCTGGCAGGGACGTTAGCAGGAAGCAAGCTGGCTCCTTGCATTTCCTAATACTCTCTCTTAAAGGTAGTTTTAAACAACTTATTCTAGAATTAAGAGTCCCATATTGTGTTACCCCTAAGTTATCATAAAAGGGCAGGGTTTGGACCCCTGCCCTAGAGAGTTAACATTCTCTAAGGGGTTCAAAACTCCTGAATTAAAGGATTCAAGACTGGAATTTTCAGCAAAGTGCAAGTGTCACTGTCCCACTTAGGGGTTGAAGAGGGACTCTGAATTCAAATCTAGAAAAGCTCTGAAGCTGGACCCCACATCAGGAGGACCGTAAGTAAAAGCTGGAGGTGAGCGGTTGGAGAAAATATTAATCCAGGAGTGATGTTAGAAAGACTTAAGCACAGTGAGTGGGTAGAGGCTTATGGGGGATGGAAGAGCTATGGACATACTCTCATTTTCATAAAAATGCTACCAATATGGGCCTAAATTGGTACCACCTCTCTGGGAGGCAATTTGTAACTGTGTAGCAAACGTTTAAAAACTGTCCATATTCATTTCCATTCTAGTAACTTATTATAAAGAAATTTTTAAACTATATTTAACTGCAAGGATATTCACCCAGCATTTGTAATAGCCAAAAAACTGAAAGAAAATAAAATCTATAAGCAACCTAACTGCACATTAATAAGGGGTTGGTTAAATCAACTAAGGTGCAGCAATAACATGGAATATTTTGTAACTCCTACAAAGGATGTAAATGAGCACTTACTGACATGGAAAGACAATTATGCTTAATTCTGTGGAAAAGGTCAGTTACAGAATTGCATGTCCAGTATGTGTGTCAATTCGCTTTAAAAAAAAAACATTAAAAGCATACATTGGCAAAAAGAATTGGCTGAGAGGATATTCTCCAAGGGATTAACAGTCATCTCTGGATGTTGAAAGCTACAGGTAGCTTTCTTTCCTTATTTGTATAACTGTTTTTGTAATTAATTTTTTAAGTTACTTTTAGGTAGTCCTACCCAGTCTTCTCAAGTGACATCCTCTTTCCCGAACTTTTCTGAGCCCTAGCAAGGCAGAACCAATATCTTTAACGTTAGAGTCCCGACACTCTTCCAATACTACATAGCTTGGGGCTTAACCTTGTTCCACCTCTTCCTCTGGTCCCTGTATTGTATGCAAGTCTTTTCCCCTACAAGCCTGTGGGCCCCTATCCCAGGGTCCGGTGTCTCTTGTCTTCTCTGCCTCTGTCCCACCGCCTGGATGAGACACTGCCTGACGGGCGCATTATTATAAAACTTCAAGATCTGGCCTGATATTTCCAAGTCGGTCGAACGGAATCCAGTGATTTACATCCGAGACAAAGTGATTGGCCAGGAACCGAGGCCCTGAGGCCTGGGTGCAGACCTCACTGCTGGGGGGAACAGCTCGCGCCGCCTGGTTCCGAAGAGAGCCCGGCTCGGGTAACCTCGCCTGTCACCGCGCAGCCAGCAGAACCCCAGACCCGGCTCGGTGAGGCGGGGCGGCGTGATGCCTTCCTGGACACACGCGGACGTTGCGCCACGAAGTTTGTCCCTTTGGAGGCGCCGTCCGGATCTGCGCCCCGCTGGTGTCATGTGACGGAGAAGTGCTCAGGTCCCTTTCGAGAGAAGGACGCGGTAAGCTGTGGAGTCCTGGGCTGAGCGGACGGCGGGCGGGATGGAGGCAACCCTAGAGCAGCACTTGGAGGACACGTGAGTAGGGCGACCTCTTCGGCCAGTCCAGTAGTCGCGGCAGGGGCACTTCAGCGGAACAAAGAACGCGCGTGCCAGGCGGGCGTCTAAGGGACACTGTGCTACCCCCCAGGGTGAGGCGATGAGCCCCTTCCTGGGGCAGCAGGCAGTAACCCGGAATTAAAATCGCGTCGGGTTCCGAACATTCCTTCCCGGAACGAATCTCCTCGGCCCAAGCCACGCCCCAAATCACCGGGCATGTTGCATTTGTCGGTGTGCAGGCCGTTCTTCAAGAGTTTGAGGAAATGGGTTAATTTGGGGGAAGGAAGTACCAGGTGTGCAAAGTCGAGCCCTGCAATGTATACGTAATAAAAAAACGTAGTTCTTTCCGTGTGTAACAGTTACTTGGTGCTTAAGAAGACGAAAGATACTCCTTAAATATTCCAATAAGTAATATCTACGTAAAATCCAAAGTTGGAAAAGTATAAGAAGGCATTCATGTGGGCTCAAAGGCTTGCTTGTTCTCCTTGCAGTTAGTGATACGTGCCTTAGGAACATCGTATCTTGGCCAAGGCCAGTTTCTGCAACATAGTTTATCTCCCCTATTGTGTTGTGCTGGGGAACATTGCGGAGGGAGTTGTGCACTGAGATCACAACGAGCCAATGGTTGTATGCATGAGATCACCAACTGTCCTTGGATGTATTTGTGTGACTAATAAATACGAGAGGTGCCCTCTCAGCACCACTCTTGAGCTGGTATGCCTTGAGTCCCCTGGCCAGCCTACTCAGGTCTTCGATATCTCATCGTGTCACCTCCTTTATCTGCGGGTCGGAGACGAAGAGGAGAACGACACATACAGGAACACACCTCCCTCGCAACGATGCCCCTCAGTTTCCCACTAACTATCCAGGCGGCAACCCGTGTTATTTAAGAGTTTTCAACAGTTGTTTTAAATGAGTTAGTATGCTAAAACTTGCATTTTTAGTGAGGGCGGCAAAATCCTAGATATGGCAATGTTTGTGGCTCCCCAAATCTCAACAGTACCTGATACAATGTTTTCTTCTCATCAGAGAGAAACTGAGCTGATTTAACTATTAATTTAGTTAAGTATAATTTAATTTTTCTTAGGGTTTGGAGACAACAATGAAAATTGAGAAACACTGATTAAAAGCATTCGCAACAATCCCTGGTAATAACCAATATGTTTTTACAGTCTTTTAAATTTATTTTCTCACATCATCTGCTTCATTTTTCGGGTGTTCCTGGAATTAGAATGAAGAACCCATCCATTGTTGGAGTCCTTTGCACAGATTCACAAGGACTTAATCTGGGCTGTAAGTATCTCGCATCAACCATTTGGTGGATTGTGTTCTATTTGATGTTGACTAGGAGCCTAGAGTGCTGTTATTGTCTAGTTTTTATTTTCTTTTACCTTGCCACTTTCTGGGTACTTTTGTGAGAGTAGAAATATCTCCAAATAACAAGCTTAAAAAATTGAAACTTTTCAGTTGGTATTGAAAAAGGTAGAAATGTTCCTGTGGTTCTAGCACTATACAGTTGTTTCTACTACAATCGTATTTGAATCATTCTAAATTGAGCCAGAAAGGACTTCAGATAATGACAGCAGTTACCATTTATTGAATGGATGCCACATGCTGGGACTGCTAGGCTTTGTAAACATTATCTTTAATTTTCACAGTCACCCTGCAAGATGAGTGGTGCTATTTTCAGTCCACCTACCTTTAACAAGTAAGTAGACAGTAAAACAGGGCTTCACAATTGGACACACTTGAGGTTAATCCCCTTGCCCTTCCATTTGCTAGTAGCATGAATTTGGACTAAAAACAGCCTTTTTGAGCCTTAGTTTCTTTTTACTGGGTTAATTATGACAATAAGTTGCATTTATTGAGCTCATACTATGTGTCAGGCAGCATTCTAAGCGCTTTACATATACTGTTATTTAATCCTCATAACATGTATAACCCTGTGAGGCAGATAAATTGAGGCACAGAGGTAATTTGCTTAAGCTCAGACAGCTAGTAAGTGGTTGAGCGAGGATTTGAGTCTGGCTCTAAAACCTCTTAATCACAATATTATATAATATGTACAAAACAGCACAGAATCCAGGCATAATGCTCAATAAGTGGTAACAATTACAGATGAGGAAGGAAACCCTGAAAGGTAAATAACTAAAGCTTTCAGCTAATTAATGTCCAAACTAGTAAACCCAGGACTCCTTACTCCTCTTTACTGCAGGAATTTTTAAAGCTTTTAAGTTTTTGCTAGGAGGGTAACTAAAAGAGGTAATTTGTGTAATCCAGGCTTTATACAAAACCATTTAATTGTGAGAAAAAAGCAGATTTATTTGAGATGCTTGCAGGCTCACTAATGGAAAGGCTGAAATTCAAGTGTGGAAATCAAAAACTTCATGAGTTTCTTCAAGAAACCTTCAAGGCCCAAACACTGTACTGCATTTGTCTGGTCAGGGTTTTATATGACAGTAGTAAATCCATTGACTGCCATGGTGGCATGTCTGTGACCTGATTTAGTTTGAGGCAGGTTGGCTAATGTTACCTGTATCTACAGAAATATGTTGTAAACTTAGTAATTAACTTTTTTGTACCTGACACCCAAGCTTTTTGTCAATCTCACCTCTGAATTTGTTGGTTTCAGCAAGGTCCCTGTAAAATGGATTTATAACTTTCAGAATTACGTAAATTACAGCTTCCTTAGAGATGGTGATGGGACTTTGGAAATTGTCTGTTACAGCTTTATTGATTTAAGAACTGTTATCTGGCTTTCTCACTGATGTAACCAGCTGAGTATCAGGGAAAAGTCATTTCGTGTCAGTACCTAACATAAGAGACCATGAACGGACCCTTCTTTTTGTGAGTAATTCTATGAAAGGTAACTTGTGTAGCTCTCTACTCATTTTTGGACAATCAGGCAATGTGGTATCATCTCTTTCAGGCCGCGGGACCCTGTCCGATGAGCATGCTGGGGTGATATCTGTCCTGGCTCAGCAAGCAGCTAAGCTAACCTCAGACCCCACTGATACTCCTGTGGTGTGTCTAGAATCAGATAATGGGTAAGTAGATGTCAGCAGATCTCTTCCTTTCGTTTTTGTTCCTAAAAATCTCTGGGAAACTTGACTGAGCCTCCCATGTGTTTTATCAGTGATTCCTCATTCAAAGTACTTGGAATGAGGTTCTCCACCCTGTGAACTACAGGAGCAGATAGATTGATCTCTGAAGCTAATGGGCTTTCAGAAACAGTAACATTGTGTCACTGACATGAAGTGTAAGAGGTGTCTATTAAAAAAAAAAAGAAACCAAAGAACAGAAACTATTTCTGTAATAATAGAAATACTTTTATTTCTCAATAAAAGTGAGGGTCCTCAAAATAAGTGACAAAATCAGAATACAAAATTTTACACAGTATTATTAGTTTTGTAAAAAGAGAAAATACATATAGTATACATGCAAATTTTTTTAAAAAATAGGAAAATGTTAACAGAGGTTGTCTCTGAGAAGTAGGATTATAGGTTTTATTCTATTTTTATATTTTGTACTTTTCTGTATTTCCACAATGTTTTCTTGTATTTATATATTGCTTTTATATATCGAAAAAGGGTGAATATTTCTTTTAGGTATATCCTCAACTAAAGCATCTTTTTAAACATTGACTCCCATTTGTAACATTTTTCGTAACATCTTCTGCTTTGCCTTTTAGGAACATCATGATCCAGAAACATGATGGTATCACAGTGGCAGTGCACAAAATGGCCTCATGACATTTCCTCTCAGTTCTCTCCAGCAGCCCGTCACAGGGACTCAAGCCTACCTATGTAATTATCTTATAGAATTATTAAAGTTGCAATAGGTCAGCCATTCATCTTGTGTGCATTGGGTACTTTTCTATTAATATTAGAGTACACATGCTGCTTTTTGACACACCATAGACTGACATATGAAAATATTACTAAGTGAGGATCATGTTTTAAAGCAGCAGGTCCAGGCCATTTTGTATAAAGAATTTTGTTATGTTCAATAAATCTGGTTGGAGGAATGCTTGGATCTCCTTGGGATTTTTTAAACTCTTGGTGATGTTCATTTTTTTCAGTTATCACATTGTAATTTTTTTTTTAAAGATCTTTGCTCCAAATTACTCTCTCTCATCTTGCAGAAGCTTCCTGAAATACATACATCCTCACAGAAGTGTCCATGGATATTTAAGACAAATATGCATACTCCTACCCTATAATAACAACATAATAGCTAACATCATTAAGTATTTACTATATGCCAGGAACTCATTTAATTCTCACCAGCTACTCTATATGGGAGGTGCTCTTATTTGCTCCATTTGGCATTTGTGTAGTGTAGGCTAAGGGATTACAGAATAAGGACATTATCTTCTCTTCCACCTTTAAAGTTCTCAACAATAGCATACAACAGGCACAGAAGACCTCATTTTGTTGAATTTGTATACGGCTCCTGTTGGTCTTTAGCAGTTTAATATTTGACAGTATCAAAAATCCTCCAGAATATTATTTATTCAAAAATATAAAGCATCTATATGTATGAGGTACTATAACAATACAAATATTTTGAATTATACATGGCTTCAGCCTTTGAGCTTTGATAGAAGAGTATGCATGTATGTTGTTTTTCACCATACTTAAACCAGTACCTGACATGTAGTATATGTGTGAGTGTGTGTGTTTTATTGTCTGTCTTCCTCACTAGCATACTCCCTTTAAGGATAGGAGCTTTTTCTTATTTACAGATGTATTCCAAGCACCTAAAACAGTGTGAGCACATAGTAGGCACTGAATAAATGTTTGCCAGATAGAAAAGTATGTAACTAGTAAACAGAGTTTTATTGTGTGAACTGTGCCTTTTCCAAGAAGAGGGGGTGGCGGTGGCAAAGATATGGTAACCCAAAAGGAATATTTATGTAACACTAAATGCTTTAGTTTGGTCTATGAGGAAGGAGGTGAAAAAGCTGAAGGGTAAGGCACCTACCTCAAGGAACTTGTATATCTGCTTTTTAAGAATCATAGGCCTTAGATCCTGTTAGCAGAATGGGTTTTGGAATAAATGAGAGTCAAAATTCAGCTTTAAAATTAATCTGAGATAGACTGAGCTCATTTTTTTTCAAGAAGAGCTTCCTCTTATGTATGTATCTCCACTTCCTAGCCCAAAGTAATGAGAGTCAATCTCTAGTGAGTTTTTGCGACGTACATCAAGCAATTTGCATGCATTTATAGCTCATTTAATCCTCATGAGGTATTAGGCCCATTTTAGAGAGAAAGAAATAGGTTCGGCAAAATAAGTTAAGGATCAAATATGAGAGACAAATTGGAAAGGGAACAAAAGCAATGAATTAAAAATAATTATCTAGTCTAGATGACAAGAACTAGGTACACTTAGAAGCAGTCAACTCAGGAAAGTATTACTAAGCAAAGATGGTTGGGTTTGATTTTAGACATGTTGAAAATGAGTTTCTGACAGGACATCCTGGCGGTAATGCTCTATAATACGTACTGCATGCTCACTATGTAGCAGTCGTGGTGCTGTATCTCCCTTCAGGGACCTCCCATTGCATTTAGAACAAAATACAAAGTTCTTAGATGGTCTTCCAAGCCCTGCATGATTCAGCCTCTGTCTACCTACCCCTTGTGCCACATGTGGATAAAACTGCAGTATTTCCAGAATCTCTCGCCTGGCTTTAGTGCATCTCCATATCAATAGGTGTTTCCAAGGGGTGGAGAGAAGTAGTCCGTCTCCATATTAATAGGTAATTACAAGGGCAAGTGAGGGCTTATCTGGACCAGGGAGATTGAATGGAACTCTCCTGCAGCCAGGTGAAGAGACGCAGGATGACTGCTTGTAAGAAATAAATGGGTTTCTCCCACTTTATTTCTCCCTTTGACTGATTTCGGTTTCAAAGATACTTTGCTCCAGGATTTTCCCCCCAGTTACATCTGGTGGTAGTCAGTAGGACCTCTGAACCCAAAATTTGTCTACATGGGTGCAACCCTTGGGCGGGCTGCCTCTAGGGATGGTGGGGAGGCCCCAGTGCCTGCAGTGGTAGAGGGTGCAGCTTCACTTGGGAACCCCTATATGTGGGCTTCCTATTGGACAGCCCCTAGTGGGGAACTGGTCTAGGGTAAAGCACCTCCTAGAGGGGTGGGGCCTTTCCCAGAACTGGGGAAGGGTGGGGATACCAGAAGCTGCAGAATTAGCCCTCCATCAAATAGAAGACTGCTTAGAGGCCCTGAATGGCCATGTAGCACCTGGAATTGTAGGATCTCTTTTTGTCGAGATAGCGAAAAGTGTTATTGAGGAGGGAGAGAGGGTTATTGGGGGGAGAGACTTCGGCATCGCTTGGAGGCACTGGGCCATAACCTACAGGATGCCCTTAAGAAAGTTATTGAGAAGACAGGTCATGCCCCTGGAAAATAAGTTAGCAGCAAGGGAGGAGGCAGCCGGGGAATCCGTGTTGCCAGAGGCCGTGGGGGAGGGGGAGGAAAGAGTGGTACCTTCAGCCCTGGAGATGGTAGAGATGTCAGGAGAGGATGAGGGGGTTGGCCAAGGGCTGATCTCTTGCCAAAGCCACTGCTGGAGGCACAAGTCTCTCTTGCATTGAAGGCCCATCCGCTTGTAATTAAAAAAGTAAAAATGCAACAACTGCAGACTCCTCAGGTGGAGGAGCCACCCCCACCCCAGGTTGTGGGGCACTACATGCTCTGCCCCTATAGCCAGGATGAGCTGGTGGACGTGAGCATCCAGTATTGGCAGAAGCCATTGGAACCTCTGCCTACATGGTTTTTGCATGTCTCGGAGGTGGGGGTGGAAAACATTGTTATGTGCAGTTCTGAAATGAACAGACGGGCTTCCCTGATGACTCACCCTTCTCTCTGGCAGCGGTTGCTGCTCAGGGAATCAGGTGCTTCTGGACTGACTGACAGCAGTCATCAGGGCAGCTTGGCCTAATCAGGGTGATTTATCATACTTACCCACTAGCTGGAAAATGTATGCAGAGCTTCAGCAGGTGTTATGGGAGCTGGGCATGAAAAACATCATCTATAATATGGACCCCCAGGGCCTCGATGAGTTGTTCACCATAGGAATGAGAAATCTGGTGCCCCATACAGCTCCCCCATCTCTCGTTGGGTCCCTAGTGACTATTCTTGCCCCCACATAAGGCAACCCATAAGTGAGGCTATTTGTATTTTAACAGATCTGGGGGAGGTTGAAACAATAAGAACCTGGGAGGAAGTATGGGCTTTGACTAAAGGAGAGGTGCAAAGGGTCCTGTGAGGTCTTAGGGACCCAGATGTGGGTTGATTTGATAAAGGCCGGGGTAGTGAAAGAAAAACTTGATGGGCAGCCCAATAGGATCTTGTTGTAATGTGGCACCAATTAAAGCCAGAGCAGCAGCAGGATATGGAAGCCAGAGGAAAAGACCCATGTATGGCCTGTGTCCCTGAAAGACTTCCTGGGGTACAGTACTCTGGCTCTGCCAGAGACCCTCACCCCCAGGGGACAATGATTGTCATGGTTCAACTGAGGGGAAGGTCAAGGCCCCCATCTTGGGGGATGTGGCAGGGACCAGAAGCCACATACAGAATTAGCAATTCTTTAGTCGCCTGTGAATGTACGTGTCCTGGCACAGGAGCTGAATATGTTCTCTGGCTTATGGCAACCCTGAGCATTTTCCTGGGACCCCTGCTAGGGTAGATGGCAATGGGGGTAAGGCAATTAGAGTGAAGAAGGCCCAAATCCCACTGGAGATAGGGTTTAGCCCCAAACGAGTATAGTGTGTACATTTCTCACATCCCTGAATATATTTTGGGAGTATATATCCTGCAGGACATGGTTACAGACCACTGCAGGTGAGTTCAGACTGAGGGTACATGTGGAAAGGCAGTACTGAGGGGACATGCTAAGCACCCACCTGTAGCTTTGCCTGTACCTTGGCAGGTGACAAATACTAAGCAGTATAAATTGCCTGGGGGNGGTACACAAGGAAATTGGAGAAACTAGAAAGAAGTTGGAGAAGGTATCATAAAGCCCACTCATAGTCCTTTTAATTCCCCAGTATGGCCAGTGAAAAAGCTGGACAGCCCCTGGTGTATGACTGTGGACTACAGGGAATCGAATAAGGTCACATCCCCTTTGCATGCTGCTGTCCCCTCTATAGCAGCCCTTATGGACACACTAAGTCATGAACTAGGGATGGATCATTATATTGTGGACCTTGCTAATGCTTTCTTCTCTATCAAAATAGCACAGGAAAGTCAGGAACAGTTTGCCTTCCTCTGGGAAGGCTGACAGTGGACACTCACTTCCTTCCACAGGGATATCTCCACAGTTCCACCAGTTGTCTTAGTGGGACTACAAGTCCTTGTGGTCCAGGACTTGGCCACGTGGAAGAAACCACAAACGGTGTGGCTGTATCACTACACTGATGGTATGATGCTCACATCTGATTCTCTTGTAGATTTAGAAGGAGCAGTTCCTAGACTGCTACATCTACAGGAGAAAGGATGGGCTGTGAACAGCACCAAGGTTCAGGGACCTGGTTTGTCTGTAAAATTCTTGGGGGTTGTCTGGTCGCGTAAAACTGAAGTCATTCTTGAAGCAGTCATAGACGAGGTCCAGGCTTTCCCTACCCCTACTGTGGCAGTCTTACAAGAGTTTTTGGATCTTTTGGGGTACTGGAGAGTGTTTATTCAGCACTTGCCACAAATTCTGAAGGCCTTATACTAGTTGGTATGAGAGGGCATCAAGTGGGACTGGGGTGAAACATGTGCAGCTGGTTTTACTGCTGCTAAGCGGCAAGGCCATACAGGCCTTGAGTGTAATGGACCCATCAAGGCCCTGTGAGTTAGATGTTCATGTAACTAAGGATGAGGTTATGGATAGGGCCTCTGGCAGTGGCTTGAAAGGACCTGCCAACCTATTAGATTCTGCTTGGAATTATGGAAAGGAGCAGTTCCTTGACAGAGAAGCAACCGGCTGCTGTGTAGCACACCTTGCTGGCCGTGGAGCCCATCA